TTTTTCTTCTCGTAGAATTTTCCATTGAAGAAGAGTTTGTTGTGCTTACAACAATTGTGTTTGTGATCCGAGTAATCACTGTCTCCCATTTTAAGATCCCTTCTTTGATTTCTTTTTGTTGTTGAGTTGTTAGCTTCATCGATTCTTCGCCCTCCTCTTTCTTGCGACCGCCTATAATCTTACCCGCCACAGATCTCGTAAATTTAAAGGTATTTATGATTTCCATTTTCTCTTCTTGGATTTCCTTCTTTATCTAATACATATATGCAAGATGAAGTAAATAAAATGGTTCATTAGCCATAAATTGTCACCTTAAAGAAAATAATGTACCTTTCCAACAGCTAAAGAAGATATGGCCTGGAAGAGGCCTCTTGGTTCTTACGTCTCAAAAAAGCATCAATGGTAAAGTCTTTTATTTTGCCGTTGGAATCTGTGGTTATCTTTTCTTTTTTTTGGTAAGACCAGATTGCCTAAGATCTTTTTTGACCGCTCGTCATATTGAGCATAGACCATCATTGAGGTTGATAAGCGAACTGTGTAATTTGCTTTGGCTAATTAATTGAAGTTGAGTCTATTATGAAAAGAAAATGTTGAATGTCGCCAAAACAACCATCTGCAGTCTTTAAGCCTAAAAGCCAAACTGAAGTACCAAAAGACTAGAATAAAAAACCGCCCATAGACCGTTTCTTCGTATTATCTAGGGAACTCGTGAAGCAAAACCGTTGGAGAACAGAGACCGGATCATAGCTCGTCATTTCCATATCCCTCATCGTCTTCATCTCCTCCGTCTTCTTCACCACCAGCTGGTTTTTCATTTACCGCAATAAGCTCTGTGTCAAATATCAGTGTCGCACCACCTGAAGTTTGCAAGATTGTTTTTAGTTATAATATAAAAACCCGTATTTTTCACAAACATGAACACACAATTTAAAAGCTTATAGATGAAACGTATTTATACCGGGGATAGTAGGTGGAGAGCCTTGCTCTCCATATCCAAGTTTTGCAGGTATCTTTAACTTCCTCTTCTCACCTACACACGCTCCTAGCAAACCTTGATCCCAACCTGCAACAAAACCGAAAAGTACCATTGAAAGAATTAAGAAAATGTTACAAGAAAAGAGAGACTCAAAAGCCAAAAGCAAGTTACTACCTTTGATAACCTGACCACTTCCTAGTTTAAACTCAAACGGATCACCCCTTTCAAAGCTCGAATCGAATACAGTTCCATCAGTAAGTTTCCCCTGCCACATAACACTAAGTTACACAACAAAAAAACAACACCAAACATTTCTTCATACCAATAATGAATCCAATTTTGTTATAAGCTCTAGCCAAGCTTACCCTATAGTGCACCTTGATCGTATCACCTTTATGAGCCTGAACTTCACATGTTTTTGGCTTAAACTGCAAAAAAAAAAAGAAACTCTTATTCTTTGAATCCAATCAAGAAGCTTAAGATTCTTCCTAACTCTTTTCAAATCCAGAAAACTTCAACTAAACCAAATGGTCAAAGTCTCAAAGAGCCTCTTACTTATTCTAGTGCCAAACCAAAAACAGAACACAACACAATCAAAACCAGATCCAAATTCAAATTCCAAAAAACAACAATGAAGAAATCAATGTTATAGCTAGAAACAGTACACTAGATCGTTAATTTGCTGATCGGAACACACAAAGATTTACCTTGACACCGATCTGCAATTCCGACACATCTCCGGTCTTCTTGGCAAAACCTATAAACAGATTAAATACAAGGAATTAGATTGGAAACAAAGAGATCATGTTTTTAGCACATTCAATAATCCGAATGAAAGACGAATGAAGAACCTTGGAGTGAAATGAGAGAGAAGAAGATCAAAAAGAGAGAGCAATGGAGACTCATCTTGCTCGCCATAATCGCCTCTCACTCTTCAGGTTTTATTTTTGTTCTTTCAGTGTTTTGTTTCATAGCTCAGACTCAGAGGCAATCTTATTGGGCCTAGGTAGGCCTGTGGACTTTTGTCCTAGCCCATCTTCTCTACAAGAAAAGTTGAAAATTTCGGTAATAGTTTCAATTTCACTAAGACTAGGGCTGGGCTTTTAAACCGAACCGAAACCGAAGAAAAAAAACCGAACCGAACCGAACCGAAAATTTGAAAATAACCGAATGGATACTAAATTTGATAACCGAAATAACTGTAACCGAATCGGTACCAAACCGAAATATTTCGGGTAACCGAAATACCCGAAATACCCGAAATACAATTATATTTTCGAAATAATTAGTTATTTATTGACCAAATAATCAAAAATACTTGAAAAAACTATAAAAATAGTAAAAATATTCAAAAATAACCGAAAAATATCTAAAATATTCGAAAATACTCAAAAATAACCGAAATATCCGAAAATATCCTAAGCAAAATAACCGAATGGATACTAAATTTTAAAACCGAAAGAACCGGAACCAAACCGAAACCGAACCGAAATTTCAAAATATCCGAATGGATACTAAATTTTAAAACCGAAAGAACCAAAAACTGAATGGACCCAACCGATAACCGAACGGATAACCGAAAGCCCATGTCTAACTAAGACCATACACAACGGTCTATTTTTTGTGTGGGTGTGACTATTAAAATATACACAAATAAGAGAATAGTAAGTTTGGAGTTGGTATTCGAGTGTTAGTTTACACTCGATTGTGAGGGATATGTGTCTTTGTTTTGTTGGTTCCGATTTTTTGACATAGAAAAATCACCACTCACACCCATACTCCCACATTATTTTTTAATAAATCACCACTCACCACTCACACCCTTATATTATTTTATTAATAAATCACTACTCACATCCATACTTCCACATGCACCATTATGAATGCTCTAATACATTGCTTTAGCTATCTAGTATCCACTATCTACCAAATTAAAGTGATGTTTTGATTTCCGCGACTGTAAAAAGAACATGCCCACTTAAACAACTCGGACATGTGTCATTCAATTTTGTTTACTATAACAAAACTTATTTTTTTTAATAAACTAAAATGAATTAGTGTTAATTTATCGAGTAAATTCAAAGATAGGTTAATTTATATTTTATATATCTATCTTATTATATATTGACTAACTAACTCAAATTTTAATTTATATCTTAGAGAATAATTGTTAAAAAAAATTACTATAAGCAATTCTATCTCGATTAAATTCAAAAAAGTAATGATTGGTAAAAAGGAAAAAAACCGGAAAAAATCGCCTATCTATTTTTTTTAGCCGTTTAATACCTGTGTTTTCAAATTTAGAATAAAAATACCTCATTTAATTTCTATTGCCTTTTAAAACTATCGTTTTTTTAAACTTGGTAATTTCGAACCCGATACTTAACAGTCGTTACTGGACGTAACGGAATTATTTAACAGCGTTAAATTTTAACCAAGAAAAAACTCGAAAAAACCGTCATCTATTTTTTGTTTTGGCCGTTTAATACATGTGTTTTTAATTTTGGAATTAAAATACCTCATTTAATTTCGTTTTTTAAAACTTGGTAATTTCGAACCCGAGACTTAACAGTCGTTACTGGACGTAACAGAATTATTTAACCGCGTTAAATTTTAACCTCACGTGTTTATATAAATATATACAAACTGCTCACTACACATTATTAGAATGTCAATGTGGCTTGGTGGTAGCGTGTCTTTTTGTAAACCACCAGATCCGAGTTCGAATCTCAAACCTGTTTTTTTTTCCCTTTGTTCTGCACTTCGAATAACTTCCCATCAGTACAAAGTTAAGACTCGAAATGCAAACAAAAGATGAATCATAGAGAGATTTCAACAAATCGATCTAGAGCTGAGTTAATGATTCTGCAATTAGATCTACCATTGAAGAAAAACAACAACTAGATCGACATCAATCAGATCAGATCTATACATAAACGGGATGAATCACGCAAAAACCCATTATCAAAAAGAGATTCGAGTGAAGAAGAGAAAGAGAGAGACGAGTTTGCATCATCGGAGATCTGAGAGGAAGAAGGCGTCGTCACTACCAGCGAAGAAGACAAAGAACATAAAAAGAAATTTTTTTTAAAAAAATGAGGTTGAAGTCTTGAAGAGTCGAACCCAGCTCCTGAGGTTTACAAAACTAACATTCAACCACCAGGCCACATTAACTATCACATAAATTTTTGCAAACAGATAATAAATATTTCGTTGACAAAAAAAAAAGATAATAAATATTTATATAAATATGTGAGGTTAAAATTTAACGCTGTTAAATAATTCCGTTACGCCCAGTAATGACTGCTAAGTTTCGGGTTCGAAATTACCAAGTTTTAAAAAACGATAGTTTTAAAAAGCAATCGAAATTAAATGAGGTATTTTAATTCCAAAATTAAAAACACAGGTATTAAACGGCCAAAAAAAATAGATGACGATTTTTTCGGGGTTTTTTTCGGTTAAATTTAACGATGTTAAATAATTCCGTTACGCCCAGTAACGACTGTTAAGTCTCGAGTTCGAAATTACCAAATTTAAAAAAATGATAGTTTTAAAAGGCAATCGAAATTAAATGAGATATTTTTTATTCCAAATTTAAAAACACAGGTATTCAACGACCCAAAAAAAAATAGATGGCGGTTTTTTCGGGTTTTTTACCTTGGTAAAAATATCATAGAGTTTTCTTGGAGGCTAAATAGTAAATACCAAAATACACGTATCTTATACAAAACTAATTTTCATAATTATTTTTAAAAAATAAGTAAATACCAAAATATACTTATTTTTTATTTATTTTTTAACTCACCAAAATATACTTATTTTATACCGAAATAACGATTTCTATTTTTATTAAAATGAAAGTTAATTGCAAAAGCTTTTATTAAAAATATATAGTACTCTAAGGTAATTCTTCAAGAGTTTTTAAGTTTTTATACCCAAAAAAAACGTCGCTTTACTCAACTACAAAATCAGCAATAACCACACAAATCAATAATCAAAATAAAAGCCCATCGAAACTTAAAAGATTTACCATTTGCTTACCTTATCCAAATCTGCTCCCACTGACTCTTCCTTCAATCTTCTCCTCTGTAATCTCTTCACAATCCCAAAAAAATCTCACAATCGTTTTTTTTGCTTCTCTCTTTCAATGGACACCTCTCTCTCCCACCACGGATCTCTCTCCTTTCTCCCGTCGCGCCGCAATTCCGTTAAACAAAACCGCGGCGGCGATTGCGTTTTTCTCCCCTCGCGTCGTAAGGTCCGGTACGATTCGTTGGTGGTGGTTGCGGCTACGTCTTCGGGACAGAGCATCGACGCGCCTCTGGTTCCACGCTCGGCTCAGGGAAGGTTTCTAAGTACCGTCTTGGTGAAAAAGCGGCAGCTCTTTCACTTCGCCGTCGCTGATTTGCTTAAACAGCTTGCCGATGATAAGGAAGCTTCCTTATCTCGTATGTTCCTTAGTTCTGGTTCCGATGAAGCTTCTCTACACAGGTTCCTTTAACCACAATTACTAGTGTTTGTTGTCATTGTGGAATCGCCAAATTGTAGGAAACAAAAATCTGTAGAATAGTTAAGAAACATTGGATTCTTTGATTTTAGTTTACAAGTTTTTGTTGCCACTATGGAATTGCCTAATTGTAGAAAAAAATTTCTTGAATCTTTGGTTATATGATTTTAGTCAGTAATCCAGAAATTATGCTAATCAATGGTTTACAAGTGTTTGTTACCACTATGGAATCGCCTAATTGTAGGACAAAAATGTCTTTAGAAATGTATATTTCTGTGATTTTAGTCGTTAATCTTTGCATAAGAACGGATCAATGAATGTTAAATCGATTCCACGTATATTCGTCAGTGAATTCCGCTAATTTCCAGAGACTTTTATCATATGATTTTGACGAATTCAGCTTTGGTCGGTTCGATGTTCCAGTTACTTCCGTTTTGCAGTTCATAATTTGGCGCTGATTTCAATCAAATGTTTTGCAGAAGGATAGCTCAACTTAAGGAGAGTGATTGCCAAACAGCAATTGAAGACATAATGTACATGTTGATCTTGTACAAATTCTCAGAGATAAGAGTGCCTCTTGTTCCAAAGCTTCCCAGTTGCATTTACAACGGAAGACTCGAGATCTCGCCTTCAAAAGACTGGGAACTGGAGTCAATCCATAGCTTTGACGTTCTTGAACTCATCAAAGAACACAGTAACGCAGTCATCAGTTTACGAGTGAATTCGAGTTTGACTGACGATTGTGCAACAACGGAGATAGATAAGAATCATCTCAGTAAAGTATACACAGCATCGGTCTTGTATGGATACTTCTTGAAATCCGCTTCTCTTAGACACCAACTCGAATGCTCATTATCACAACACCATGGAAGTTTCACCAAGCAACTGAGACATTACATTTCTGAGTTCGATCCCAAGATATTGCAGAGATGCGCAAAGCCAAGGTCACATGAAGCAAAAAGCCTGATAGAGAAGCAGAGCTTAGCTCTTTTCGGTCCTGAGGAAAGCAGCAAAGAGAGCATTGTGACATCGTTTTCTGACCTGAAGAGGCTGCTTCTTGAGGCTGTGGCATTTGGTACGTTTCTATGGGACACAGAGGAGTATGTAGATGGCGCGTTTAAGCTCAAGGAGAATGAGAATGCAGAGGAAGAAGAAAATAGCAGTGTATGAAGTATGAACCAGTTTGCTAGAAGAAAACTTGAATATCTTTTTGGTGGACATTGCATATAATATATAGAGAGACGAAAGATTAAAACAGGGTCAATAGCTATATGAAATTATTTTTGTCTAAGTAAATTATATGTATAGTGTATTCGTGTATAATGGATGATTAATAGAGAGATTGGTTTTGTCATTTGTTTTGTTGTTGTAGTATCCTCTCTCTTCCTATTTGTCCATGAATATATTGCAATTTCAGAGGAAAAGAAAAATGAATACAGTATATTGCAATTTCAGAGGAAAAGAAAATAGTGAAAAAAACTTTTATTCTGGATGTCACTCATATTTAACCAGTTTCTCATCTCTTCAATTTGCTGAACACAAGTGGACGTGACTAAGTGTTTCACTTGTGGACGCATTTTTGTGGAATGGAAAATAAACAGAGAAGAAAATGAGTGAATTTGTGCAAAGGTAAAAATCGGAATAAACAAAAATCAAGCGTTATCAATAACCTTCAATTTTAAAAAAAAATTACAAGAAAACCAGTTAGTTACAGAGTTTATATGCGTGTGATAACGCCATTGATTTTTGGAGAGGAAAAAAAAACGAAATGACAGTTATTAAATGTTCTGTTGTAGAAGTAACATTTACGCGGCCACAGAAAGAAGAAGAAGACTTGTATTAAATGCAAACTGACGGACTGTCTTCGATTCTCTTAATTTTGAATCTATAACGTAACTTGTTGGGCGAAATTTTGAAATCTTAAACTACTAACCAAATAGAATAGACATCCAATAAATAGGCACGCAGTTGTGCTGCAAAAAAATATACATGTAAACACATATATGAAACTTTAAAAATAATTATAGGCTCCGATTGGTGAAAAAAAAAAGAACAATAGGAACAGGAAAAAAAAGGAATGAAAAGGAACAAAAAGGAAATGAAAATGATCAAAACCAGGAACCAAAAGGAACATAAGAATTGAACAAATGATTATGGTAAATGGTAACCAAAAAATTGAACAAATATTTAACATAATAATTATTAAAAATTATGTATTTTATTTAGTTTATAAATTTTATTTAAAATTAATGTTTTATTTTAATTGAAACGAAATATAGTATAAATTCAAATATTTTATTTTAAATTAATATAAATTTCACTTGAAAGCATTTATTTATTTATTTTAGTATAAATACTAATTTAAAACAAAGTCATAAGATTCATTTAAACTAAAGTTTTGATAAAAGTTTTTTTATACATTAATATATAATAAAAATATAGGAATTATTTATTTATAAAAATGTAAATATTATCAAAAAAGCTATTTTAAAATTATTTAAAATTAAAATTATTTAAAAATTAAAAACGAATTTTAAATTTTTGTTCCTTGTTGTTCCTCTACAATTTTGGGGAGGAACAATTTTGTTCTATCATTCTTTTTTTTTTGAGGAATGAAGAGGAAAAATGTAGGACCCACATGTATGAAAATGGAACAAAGATTCCTTATAAATGGTAAAAAAAAATGAGGAACAAAAAGAACATGACATTCCTACTCATTCTTTTCCTCAAAATTGGTTACCAATCGGATCCATAGTTTTAATTTATTGGATCTATGTATACATGCAAATATATATATATATATAGTGTTATTAACATTTCTATACATGTAAACATGTACATTAAACATTACTAACATTTGTATGCATATAAACATATATATATAGAGCGTTATTAACATTTATATACATGTAAACACATATATTGGCGTTATTAACATTTATATACATGTAAAAGCGTATATAGAACGTTATTAATATTTGTATACTTATATGTACGCTACAAACATTATTACAACCACTGTATCCCAAACAGTTGAACAGAACAAATGAATAGTGCATTGTAATTGGACACTAAAATATCATTGCATGGAATCATAAATTTTGTATTTTCGATAGATTTTTACCCGGTTTCATCGAGTTTTCACCAGATTTCTTCGAATTATCACCGGATATCGTCGAATTGTCATCCCATTTTTCATCTAATTTTGTTAAATTGTCATTGGAACTTAAAAAAATTCATAATAATATCAACACTATTAGTGTTGGATTTGAAGTATTGGTTAACTCTATCCTAGCAAATTCTTCTCTGTCCTTAAATAATTGAGAAAGCAGCTCTGAATTGTTTATGGTCTTACAAAATAGATATCTCTTTTTTAATCGGATATTTGATCAACGCCGGCATACGAATTTACAAGATATATACATAAATCTATAAAGTTTTTGGGACATCCATGCACAACATATTGATCTCGTGAACAACAAATAGAGAGGCACGTAAGGTTATTTTTGGCAAAAAGAGGAGATAAAATTATCATTGTCTTTGGTCTTCAAAATATAATACCGAAAATTTAATTTGATTATGATCGGCTGTCTCCCAGCTGATTATCTCAAAGAAAATATGGAGAAGAACCAACAAAATTTATTTGTAAATGTATACATTACATTTGAATGAAATTTTGTGAAAAATTATTAAACCTAACAAAATAAATTAACTTTAGCAAAATTATTTTGAATTGACAATAATAAAAATATTCAGAAAAGAGAAATTAAAAGAATAGAAAGGAAAACTAACCAGGGTAATTTTCCAAAAAAAAAAAATAAATAAGGTTTTTTTCAAAATTGAAGATTTGTTATTGGTCTCCGAAAAATCAAATTGAGATGTTAAATGTGCTACTATATGGACATTCTTATTAGTAATCATGGAAGACTTTTGTGTCAAGAACCAGATTTTTATTGTTTTTCTCGCTGAACGTAATTTTATTAATAAGATATATAGTATCACAAAGGATAACCAACTATAAGATAACAAAAAAACTAACAAAACATAAACATAAACATCACCAATAAATTGAGAAAAACAAAGAAAATCCAAAGGCGATATTAAAGCTGGGCATTCGAGTACGTGGATCGGGTTCAGGTAAAATCCGATCGGATACGAATCCTTCGGATAAAAGTTTATGACCCAATAGAGTAAATCAAAAATATCGGTTCGATTTCGGTTTGGATTTAACTATTCAGAACTGCTAAATACCCGAAAAAATCGGGTATCCTTTGGGTTCGGGTATTTTATACCGTTTATACCCAAATATCACTAAGATATTGATAAATTTAAAATGATATTGATCTTTTTCTTTCTTTAATAAGATTTTATATATTGACACTTCGATTAGCATTTGAATTAAGAATTACTTTATGCAAGAATTCAGACAATCTCCAACGCATCTTCAATTCCTTTAACAACTTCAATAAATTCGGTTTGTTGACATATTTTCTCAACATAAAAGAAAATAATATTACCTGGTATTGAAAAAATGTTTTCTGTTTGTTGGACAATATAAACAACAAAATAGTCACACATTATACATATGTAGTTTTTGTTTACCATAAGCGGAAGAATCCCCGTATTTTACGCTAACTTTTTAGGTTGAATTGACACTAATAAGTAAAAGTTTGAATTATTCGTAAAAGATTCATACTCGAAGTGATAAGCTGTTACAAGATTGTTATTTGACTCATACGATTTGGATAAGTGCAAAAAATACTAGTTACCCCAATTTTCTTAACTATTGATTGATAGAATTTTATTTAAGTTTAAGATTTCTATTTGCAGGCAAAACATAAAAGATAAAGGTTTTTCTATACAAAACAAATTGGCAAGATGTTTAGGTATTAATATGAAAATGATATAAATTTATATTTAGAATACTAAAAGACATAAAATTTGTTTATATATAGTATTGTAAGGCATATGTACTAAAAGACATATGTATTTATACATGACTATAAAACTATCAACCAAACTTACAAAAGTATTAAAGGCTTATCTTTTATATATGTATTAATATATATATATACCTTTTTGGATTATCAATATATTTTTTGTATTATAAAATAACTTATAAAATATTTTGCGTTATGTCATTTTCAACTGAAATAATCAATTCACAAATGAATATAGTAATTATGTTTTCAGTTAATACTCCATTTGTTTCACAAAAAGTGTCATTTTACCATTTTTCACACAAATTAAGAAAAACATCTAAATTTCTCTTTTACCTTTTATTAATACATTAAGATAGTTTTTTTTAATTAATAATTTGAAAAAAGAGAGATAAAACTGAGATTCGATTTTAAAAATCTGCATTGAAAATACAAAACGACAATCTTTGTAAAAAAAAACCCACACTCTTGAAACAGAGGGAGTAATTTAAAATAAAAACTGTAAATTAAAGTTTATAGTTTCTTTGACTATCATTTATAAGTATGTTTGATAAAACATTAACTACTATGTAACATAAGTAAAAGCTCATATAAATATGCTACTCCTTGACTTTAAAACATCACAACCAAAACTCAAAACGATCAGCAAATATATTTTATATTTGTTTTAGTTAAAATATTGAAAATTTTATAGAAAATGAAGACAATTTTTTTCTTTCTAACTCTTGCAGTTTTGGTTTCATTATGTAAGTATATTCTTGGTCAATTAATATATATATATATATATAATATTGTTTATATTTTAATTAATAAGTTTTAAAAAACTCTTTATAGGTGCATCAAATATTATGACAAAATCTATTTCAGAAGGAAAAGCTCAGTTTTCTAGCCCTGCATTAAGCCCTGATATTGATTCAGCTGACGAACATATTGCACACTCTCTCAATGACATGAAAATTATGTTTTGCCAACGATGTGCATATCATTGTATTGAGAAAAAGAAGAATATATCTCATTGTGAAAATTCTATTTGTCGTTGTACATTGGAAGATATTTTGTAAGACATTATATTTTTAGAATAATATAAGAAATAATCTAAAGTTTAATAATTTACTATATTTATTTCCATGTTTTATTTTTCATTCTAATATAAGAAATAATTAAAGTTCTGCCTTTGAGTTCAAGTTGACCTGATCTTGCCGAGAGAAGAGGAAGAAGTTGAAGAAGATTGTGTCTCGCTCTGAATAGTGGTCTCAAGGAATTCGGTTGTGACTTGTTCCTACTTAGTGATTGTCTGCTTAATCTTTGTTTGTTGTGTCGTTGTGCATGTCAAAGACCCATCTTTCTTGCCTTTATTTTGACTTATAATTTTACTATGGATAATTTCTAACTCTTTGATAGTCCTCATCACTTCTTTTTGGTAAGTTTTCA